TGCCCGTCCTACTCCCCGGTTTTCTCCTCTGCATCCTTCCTTCTCTCTTTTCTTTCCAGGCCCAAGCCAGATCAACCAGGTGGTGAGTCACCCCAACCAGCCCCTCACCATCACTGCCCATGACGACAGAGGCATCCGCTTCCTGGACAATCGGACAGGTGAGACCTGGCCTCCAGCCGGCCCTCCCCCCTGTGCTCATGAGGGGTGGGGCGGAGCAGACTCAACCCAGAACCTGGGGTCCACATGGAGCCCCTATATGCCTTCTCCAGCCCTATTGCCTCCCAGGCAAGGCCCGAGGGAAAGGGACCTGCCACCCACCCTCTCTCCCTTCAGGTAAATCCGTGCACTCCATGGTGGCCCACCTGGACGCAGTCACCTGCCTAGCCGTGGACCCCAATGGCGTGTTCCTGATGTCAGGAAGTAAGTTGGGACCTTGTGGCTGCCCCCTCCCCGCCAGAGGAGCAAAAGCTGGGCACTGACTCAGGGGCTCCCTGGGCTGGAATCCACATGGGCTGGGAATCACCAGTGGCAGGAGAACTGCTGGTCATGACAGTGGTGACAGCCAGCTGTGTGTGTAGAGCCCACTGTAGACACTTCACCTGTGTCACTTTGTTTACTCTTCTGAGTCACCCTCTATAGTGAGTGGTTTTGTCCCCATTTTCCAGTTGTGGGCCCTGAGGCTCAGAAGTTTCAGAACTGGATCCTTGGGGGTTTGAATACTTTCTTCTGCCCTGGTCTCTGGAGGTGGGCACTGTGGCCCAGCATCAGTGGACTGTGGCTGGAGGGCAGGGAACAGAGCTCCCTGGGGCTGACGGACAAGGCCTGCCTCAGACTCCCTTGGCCAGCCTTGGTGGTAGTGTGCTTGTGCCCGTGTGTACAGAGTGGGGATGAGGCTGAAGGAGGCGCAGGCCATGGCTGTCTGCCTCATGTCACCACGGCACCTGGTGAACATCTTGGCCCAGGCCTTTCTGTCCCTGCCCAATGATGACAGCAGCAGTCTGTGGACAGCGTGAGGGGACTGTCAGTAAGACTAAACCTAGTGCAGAGTGTGCTCATCCCTGGCTGGGGCCTGCACAAAGGGCTCCACCGGCCAAGCCTTCAAGGTCCCAGGTCTGGCCAGGCTGCCTCTCCAGCCTCCCCAGGAGTCTCCACAGCTGTGACCCTGCCTGGACGGCCCTGTGCCCTCCCTCTCCCTGGGTGCCACCGCCTGGAGCTGTTTCTTTCTTTTTTCTCTTTGATACTGGGGTTGGCACATGCTAGACAAATGTCCCACCACTGGGCTGTGTCCCCACCCCTGTCTGCTGTTTTGTTCACACTGCAGTGTCCACAGGGCAGAAAGATTGGCCAGTTTTGTCCTGTGACCCTCCCACTCCTGTCTTGTAGTAGGTGCTCAGTAGACACCCAGTGACTAGATGGATGGTTGATAGGATGGGGACAGGTCTGTCCTTTGGACAGAGCCCCCACCAGTCCTATGGCCTTAGGATGAGGCCAGGTGAGGGTCTCCAGGGCCAGGTCTGGGTGAAGAACTTGGTGACAGTCCTCCCACTCCTGCACAGGCCATGACTGCTCCCTGCGCCTGTGGAGCCTGGACAACAAGACGTGTGTGCAGGAGATCACAGCCCACCGTAAGAAGCACGAAGAGGCCATCCATGCTGTCGCCTGTCATCCCAGCAAGGCCCTCATTGCCAGTGCTGGCGCCGATGCCCTGGCCAAGGTCTTCGTATGATGCCACCTGGCCCCGCCCTGGCCACCACACTGGCTGGGGAGTGGGCCTGGCAGGTGGGGCTGAGGTGAGTGGCAGGCCCTCTGTGCAGGAGGGGAGGGCAGAAGGCTCTGCATCCTCGTCCCCGAGGGCCCCACAGCCCTTTGGCCTGGCACTTGAGGTTGTGCTCAGAATGACTTGAGTAGCCTTTGGGCACACAGGGGAGGGGCTAAGGCCCAGGGAGGGTCCTAAAGGTGTGGTCAGTCTCCCTTCCTTCTCTTCTGCAGGTGGCTCCCAGCCTGACTCTGGGGGTCAGAGGTCGGCCTCTCCCTGCCTGCCGTGGAGCCTGGCGGTGCTAACAGCCCTTTCTCCAGGAACACCTGTACCCAGTCTGGGGATGGGCCCCTTTAGGAGTTGCCCCTTGAGGATGGCCTTGGGGTTCTGCCCGTGCCCTGAAGCCCACTCCCGGTATCTCCTGCCTCCTTGGCAGCACAGCCAGGTCCAAGTATTCTTGGGGGTCCGTTTTTCTAAGATGCCGGGAGGTACCAGGTACTCCCTTGAGCCCTGCCCCTCCAGGCCTGGCGGGAGCAGTGCTGGGAGGGGTCTCCGGGGGCCACTCACAGGGCCCCCCTGCTTTTCAGACACTAACCAAGCCTCCGCGGCCATGGTCCTGCCTGGGGAAGCAGCGCCTATGGCCCTCCTCTGAGAGTGGCCCTTCCAGATCCCCACGGTCCCCTGGAGAGGGATAGCCTTCTCCAAGGGCCTTGAGCCCCTCCTTAAGGTGTTGGAGGGTGGAGTAGGGGCCCCTGGGCCCCCCCATAACTCCCTGTATATCTGTATAAATAAATGGGATTTTAATGGCGCCCGCCCCGTTATCACTGTGTGATGGTCTGTCGGTCTCCTGGCTACACACTTCACCTCTATTTATTTCACTTTCTTCGTTTGGGTTTCACCCTCTGCCCACACCCTTGATCCCCCTCCAGGTTCCTGTTTATAAGCCCCATCCTCTCTGCCCCTGAACTTGTATGTGAAAACTTGTCTCAATAAACCCTTTGGAGTAAGATGGGTGCCGGTGCCATCTATTGAGGAGGCTGGGGACTTGGGGGAGGAATCACCCCCTCTGCTCGGGTGGGTGGAGCTTGGGGGGAGGTGGAGTTGGATGGGTTGAGGTTTTGTGGTACAGCAGAGGGGTGCTGGCCCGCTGCTTGGGCGGGGTGCTGGTGGAGGGGCGGAAGTAGGGGCACAGAGCCGAATCTCCTCGTGCCCCTCCTTTCTGTTCCTGAGTGCACACTCCCAGGGCAGGACCCTGAGGAGATGTCACAGCGTGACAGGTCAGCCGGAGACCCTGGCCACCTAAGGGTGTTTGCTGGCTGGTGCTGAGGACTGAGCCTCCTTCCTGGTCCCACTCCACACCTGGGCCCCTGGGGAGCAGGAGGGAAGGGGGTGGACCTGGCAGCCATGCTGGGAGGGTCCTGGAGGACGAGCAGGAACCCAGCCCTCACCACAGCGCGGAGTCCCTGCCTTCCCATTGGTTGATGTTCCCTCTGCTGCACTGGGAGCCAGTCCCTTTTCCTGACATTTAACCAGTTCTCACAACCTCAAGTAGGGGCCACCTATTGTCCCCTTGTCAGGATGAGGTGGAGGAGGGGTTGCTCTAGGGCTCTAGCACATCATGGGAGTTTGTGTGCAGTCCTGTCTCCCTGCTTGCTCTGGGACCTCCACCTCCCCCCAGTCAGGTGTCTCCAGGTGAGTTCAGCCCCTCTGTAATATGCCTTTGATACCTGTGCCTCTTCGGGCCCTCAGGGCCCAGGAACTCAGGGAGGATGAAAAGGGTTAAGTGGACAGATGAGGAGGCGACACAATCAGGAGCCTGGCTGTGGGCTCCACAGGGAGGGGAGCCTCAGCCCCCCTCATCCCTCTGGGCTCCATGCAGCTTCCCCAGGTGGTGGTTTGGGTTTTCGCTCCAGCCTCAGACTTCCTTCCCCACCCCAGCCCCCGGATGTGGTGACAGAATCAACACTGTACCAACCTCAACTGCCCCCAACAGCCTTGTACAAGGAAAGGGGGTTCTGCTTGCAGTCTCCTTCCTGGTGGCCCTGCTGGTGGAGGATCCAGGCCAGGTGGGTGGCCCAACTTTATCAGGATGCCTCTGCAGCTTAAATTTAGGCCTTGACCTATCTTGGAGGGGGTGATCTTGGACAAGTCACTGCTCTTTGAGACTTCAGCTTCCTGTATGTAAACTGAATGGTAGCTACTATTTGATTATTAGCTAAGGAGGAGAAACCCAAGTCAGAACGGCCCCTGAGGGGGCTGGAGGTGTGTTCAGGCCGGCCTGACACACAGTAGGCGCTCAACAGATGCTTGCTGGATCTCTAAGGGAATAAACAAACCCACCCATAAGCCCCTGAGTGAGTGCTTGAGATGCCACCCCTTTTTCTACAAATCACTAGCGAAGGCTACGATTTACCAAATCTTGTTCCAGGCACCTGTATACCATCCCATCAGCCCTCACAAAGACCCTCTACAGTCAGTCCCTATTACAGTCCCATCTAACAATGGGGAGACCGAGGCTCACAGAGGGGAATCCCTTAAAATCACATGCATGGCCCTAGGAGATTGTCGGATCTCCAGCCTGAAGCGATGCAGGTGTGCTGCTCTCCCTCCGGTTCCCCCAGCCCTTGCACGCCACAGTCCTCGGGGTCAAGAGGAAGGAAACTGCACCCCCTCTGCACTGCCCTGCAGTCAGCTCCATGTCCCTTGCTCAAGGGCGCTGGAGACAGACCTGCAGCCAGACTCCGCCTCCGTCTTCCCATCTGGGGAAGGGGCGGCGGTGCACCGAAGCACCCCCTCCTCTAGGATGGGGGGCGGCGAAAGCACCGGCAACGCTCTGGGAAGTGAGGCCGAGCCCGGAAAGCAGGCCAGACCTGACTGACACCCTGTTTCCGACCCTTTCCCCGCGGTGGGCGCCGGATGCAGGCCAGCCTTAAAGGACCAATGTCTAACCCCGGCCCCCGCGACCTGAGGCGGGGTCAGGGGGGCTCGGCCTCCCTGTCGGCTCAGGGAACAAAGTCAACTTTGGGGTGGCCTGGGGAGAGGAGTCAATCCGTCCTCCGGCCCTCCATCTACCACTCGGGGCCCCCGCCAGGTTGGGAAGGTCCCGCCCCCAACTCCAAGGCACCGGGCCCGCCCTCCCCTTCCGTCCCCGGCCCCTCGGAAGGTCCCGCCCCTCCATGACGTCACCGAGGCCCGCGCCGATTGGCCGTCGGCACCATCGCTCGGGACACTTCCTCCTGGGCCGCAGCTGCCGACTTAAACTTGGAGGGGGAAAAGAGCCACCCACGCCGTGCGACCCTCCCTTGCCCCCATCCCCACCCCGCCTCCGGTAACGCCCCCTCCCCTGCGTCCCCCGGCCGAACTTTGTTCTAACTTCCGCGACCTGTGAGCTTCCCTCCTTTCTACCCCGGCCCTGGGGGACCCCTTCTGTCCATCCTTGGGTCCAGCGGACCACTGGGATCCCCTCGACCCCCCGCTCGGACTCCTGCCCTCTACTCCCAGGTGGTGAACCCCTCAGGTTCCTTCTCAGGTTCTCTTCCTAGAGCCCCTGGAACCCGGGATCCCCCGCTCCCCGAACTCCTCTCTTCAAGGGGCCTTTGGATCGCGCTGCCTCTTGATCCCTGTAACCCTGACCCACTAGATGTTCCTTTCTGATTGCTTACAATCTCTTGTTCGCTTGGTCCCCAAACCACTATTTCTCTGTTTCTGATCTTCGTGATCCCTCCATTTCTCGTGTGTGGTCCACCGGAGTCCTTTTCTCTCCTTTCCCAGGATCCTGTCATCCTCCTCTGTCGCTCTCAACCTGCCCGCGTTCTCGGCTCCATCCCTGCGCTCCTACCACAGCTCACGAGATCCGTCGGATCCAGGGCCCGGGTTCCCAGGGCTCTCCAGCCGGATCCCGGGTGGGCGCCGGGCTGGGGGTCCGGGCCAGCCCTCATGGCCGCCGCCCCCTCCCATCCCGCCGGGCTCCCGGGGTCTCCCGGGCCGGGTTCTCCTCCACCCCCCGGCGGCTTGGAGCTGCAGTCGCCACAACCTCTGCTGCCCCAGGCTCCCGCCCCGGGCTCCGGGGTCTCCTTCCACATCCAGATCGGTCTGACCCGCGAGTTCGTATTGCTGCCCGCCGCCTCAGAGTTGGCCCATGTGAAGCAGCTGGCCTGTTCCATCGTGGACCAAAAGGTGAGGGTTTGGGGCTCCCTCTCCAGCTTGTGAAGAGACGCCAGGAGTGGGATACTGTGGCAGAGGCCGCTGGGGCCTGGCCTGCCTCAGGGAGAGTGAGGGGACTTGGGCGACTTCAGGGGTAGACATTGGCTTAACATTGAGTTCTCACCCCCACGTTCCAAGGAGGCCCAGAGCAGGGGTGGGTTGCCACAGAGATCGCCCCAAATTGAATCCTTGAATGTTCTTATTTTCTGCAGTCAGCAGGGAGGAAGCCGGGGTGCCAGCCAGTTGTAGAGTGGGGAGAAAGAGGCAGGTTGGGGAACAGAATGGAGGGACCTCCCCATCCAGGCCCATCCCGGGCCTCCCATTTGGTGGAAACAGTAGAAATTGAAGCCAGGCTGGTGATGGTGATCGGGTGACATGTGTGGGTATGCTTTGTGCATAAACTGTCAGGGGCAAGTGAGGTCTTAGGGCCCAATTCTTGCCCTCCCCTGGACCTGAGATGGCGTGGAGGAGCAGGCACCCCTTATGCACCCCCAGAGGCTCTGGGGACCCTAGCACTTCTCCAGATCACACTGCCCCCACCCTACCCTCAGCCCCCTGGGGCACTGGCCCAGGGATCCTGGCAAGAGGGAACCCAGTAGAACTGGATAACTGAATCCTAGATTGTTAAAAGAACAGTGGGTTTTCATGTTCAATACTAGGCTGTAAAAATGTTAAGATTTGTAATTCAAGTAGTTGGAATATGTGTCCTAAGTAGTTGAACTCTTCTGACATTAAAGTGTTCAAATATTAGAATCCTAAGTTATTGAAATACTAAAACTTTAGAATTTTTGATTCCTGAGTTGTAGGAACCCTAGAATGTTAAAATGTGAGGATTTTGGAATGCTGAGTTGTTGAAATCTTTGATGCTAAGATAGTCAAGTATTAGAATCCTAGCCAGGTGTGGAAGTCCATGCCTGTAATCCTAGCAACACAGGATACCCAGGCAGGAGGACTGTAAACTCAAGTTCAGCCTCATCAAATAGTGGAAGTTGTTTCTAAACAACTTAGAAAGACTATCTCAAAATAAAAAATAAAAAGGGCTGGGGATGTAGCTCAGTGATAAGCATCCCTGGGTTCAATCCCCAATACAAAAAAGAAAAAAAAATTAGAATACTAGTTTGTAAGACTCCTAGAACATAGTGATATTAGACTACTGCTGACCTAAGTTATTGGAATCCTAAAACATATAGTGTTGGAATCTAGAGTATATGAATCTATAATGTGAGCATACTGGAATTCCAAAATATCCAAATTCCAGAATTTTCTCAGACCCCTGGAAATGAATCCCTTGGGCTTCAGAGAAACATCAGGAAGTAGGCCAACTCCCTTATTTAACAGACAAGAAAGCTGAAGTTTAGGTTTAGCTTGGTCAGGTGGTCAGGGCCAGAGTGATCCCGGTTTTCTGTGAAGGGAGAATGGACAGGGTTTTGCCTACCAAACCCCCAAATCTAGCAGGCCCAGCTTCCACCCCCCAACTCAGCCTGCCCCATGGGAAGCCAGGCTGGGACAGAGACAGATATTCCCCTGGGTGAAATCCTTTGTCCAACAGCTCAAATCCGCAGCCCTCCGCCTCTCCCCCTCCCCAGCTTTATTTTTCTTCTCTCCGGGTCCAGGTGTGGTGGGGCCTCTTCCTTCCTTCTCGATGCCCCACCTGGGCAGTTTCACTTTCTGTTCTACCAGGTTTCATTTCCGGCCCCCCCCCCCTTCAAGGTGGAGACTGGACACCTGGGTCCTTTGAGCCTGGGGTGAGAGGCACCCTGTACCTCCAGGACCCTGGATCCCTAGCCCACCTCCCCACCCACTTCCACAACTTCTAGATCCCCTCCCAGCGCGCTGTGCTCCAGGGCTGGGCCTGGAGCCAGGTAACAGGGACAATAGATCCAGGAAGGAAGCTGGGGTGGGGGGTGGGTGGCGGATAGAGGAGGGGGTGCTCATTCAGCCCCCCCCCCCTCCAGCTCTGGAAAATTCTAGGTGTCCACGATCCCGGAGCCATTAACCCTCCCACCGGCTGGCCAGTCCAGCCACCAGACTCCCTCCCAGTGCCCCCGCCCAGCACACCTGGGGCCCTGGCATCCTGCCCGGCTCCAGCTGGGGTTGGGAGGGGTCAGGCAGGAAGCCGGGGGCTGCGGGGTCTCAGTTTCCGGGGAAAACCACCAGCCCCGCTCCGGGACGGCTCTGTAGGCAGCTCTGAGCTTTTCCGTCTCCGCCTCCCTCTCCCGCCCCTCAGTTCCCGGAGTGTGGCTTCTACGGCCTTTACGACAAGATCCTGCTCTTCAAACATGACCCCACGTCCGCCAACCTCTTGCAACTGGTGCGCTCTGCCGGGGACATCCAGGAGGGCGACCTGGTGGAGGTGGTACTGTCCGGTGAGAGGCAGTGGCCAGCCTAGGGGCGGGGCCTAGGATGGGGGCGGGGCATCTGGAGGAGGCGGGTGTGAGAGGGCGTTGGACTCAGGGGCTTTTTTTTTTTTTTGCCGTGCTGGGAATCACCATGAAAGCCTACCACCGAGCCACACCCCCAGCCCCAGAAATGTGCTTTTTAAAGCAGGAGCCAGTGGTTCTTTTCCTGCTGCTGCAGGTTAGAATCACCCGGGGGGCTTCTGCAACCTGCCTCTCCCAACTAGATAGATGTGTTGAGTTCCCCCAGCTCTGATAGTGAACCATCCACCAACATGGGCGACTCCCGAACAATGCTGAGACAAAGAGCTAGACAGCCACTAGCACTGTGTGATTGCATTTATGAAGCACAAAGGCAGACAGATGAAAGCCCGGCTCGGTCACCTGGAGCCATGCGGGAGGCTGAGGCAGGAGGACTCAAATTCAAGGCCAGCCCGAACAACTTGGCAAGATTGTCTCAAAATTAAATTAAATTAAATAAAAAGGGCTGGGAATGTGGTGCTGTGGTACCGCACGCCTGGATTCAATCCCCAGTACTGCTCCGGTGGCCACTACAGAGATGTAATAACCCTGGTGTTAGAATTCAGGAGAGTGCAGTCTAAGGGACCAGGGGGTCTAAGGGACTTTTGGGAAACTGATTTATATCAGTCAGGATGCTGGTCACATGGTTTGTACCGTGTGAAAATTCAGATATGTGCCATTTCCTGAACATATGTTATACTTGTTACTCTTGACTATCAAGTTGAAAATATTCTGATGCTTGTGAAATTCTCAGTGAAGTCATAGTCTTTTCAAGGTGAATTGAGACCTGGTCATCTGTATTTTTAAAAATCTCCAGGTGATTCTGATGTACAGCCAGAATTTAATTCACTTGCCATACCCATTTTATGGGTGGGCAAGTTCTCTGTGGCTTGACAAGTCCTTCCTAAGAGGGGGTTGTCTAAAGCTGGGTGTGGTAGCTGGCACAGGCCTCTAATCCCAAAGACTCAGGAGGCTGAGGCAGAAGGATCACAAGTTCAAGGCCAGCCTCAGCAATTTAGCAAGGTCCTAAGCAACTCAGTGAGATCTTGTCTCAAAATAAGAAAGGGCCGGGGATGTGGCTCAGTTGTTAAGCACCCCTGGGTTCAATCTCCAGTATCCCCCCAAAAAAAGAATGAGGTGTCTGCTTACTGTCATGTTCAGTAAAATGTGTTAAATGGATGAGTGACAATTAGAAGTTTGCATTTACACATTTGGTGAACTCATTCAGGCTTCAAATGTCCTCCTGTAAGCTGGTAGCTCTTCAGTATTTATCTTCACCTCCATCTCTCTAAGCCCGAATGCTGCTTATGTATTTGTCCCCTTGACAGTTTTACTTGGCATCTAATACACATCTCAGATATGGCCTGTAACGAACAGAATTGTCGTTTTGTTTTGTTTTTGTTTTGCTGTGGATGGAACCCAGACCCTGGAACCTGCTGGGCAATTGCTCCACCACTAGAGGAGCCCCACCACTAGAGGAGCCCCACTCCCAGCCAAGACAGAACTCTTGCTTTCCCTCTTCTAAGCCTACTCTTCTATACTCTTCTCCACCTTTTTTAAAGTTTTTAATTTTAGTTGTAGAGCGACAAATACAGTTATTTTGTTTATTTAGTTTTATGTGGTGCTGAGGATTGAACCCAAGACTCACACATGAGAGGCAGGTGCTCGCTCTACTGCTGATCTGTAACCCCAGCCCCTGGTCTTCTCCATCTTGATGAAGGGCATCACCATTCAGCCAGGTGCCAAGGCCTGAAACCTTCGGGCATCCTGGATCCCTCTTTTTCTCTCACCTGTTCCTGCCATCCGTCAGCTAACCTAATGGTGCAGTCTCTAACAGACAGCCTGAACCTGCCCCTTACCACCCCCGCTGGTCCTAGCTACATCACATCCAGCCTGAACTACTATTGTAGCACCTAAGTCAGATCATGATGCTCCACAGCTCAGAATCCTCCCATGGCTCCCCAGTATCCTTAGAATAAAATGTAAACTCCTCTGCATGGCTCAGGACCACCTGTGATCTAGCTTCTCCCAGTTCTCTGAATTAATCTTTTTGATTTGTTTTGGCAGTCCCAAGGATTGAACTTGGGGTACTCAACCACTGAGCTACATCTCTAGCCCTTTTTATTTATTTATTTAGAAAGTGATTTCTTTTTTTAAAAAAATGCTTTTATTTTACTTATTTATTTTTATGTGGTGCTGAGGATTGAACCCAGGGCCTTGCACATGCTAGGTGAGTGTTCTACTGCTGAGCAACAACCTCAAACCCCCCTTTTTATTTTTATCTGAGCTAGGGTCTTGCTAAATTGCCCAGGCTGGCCTTGAACTTTCAATTCACCTGCTTCATCCTCCCAAGTAGCTGGGATTACAGGTGTGCACCACCATACCTGGCCCCTGATTCATCTCAGCACTGTCCTCCATACTTTCACAGTCCCAATCATGTTTGCCTGTCTTCTATCCCTTCCACAGACTTCCTTCTTTTTTAAAGCATTTCTCTTTATATATATATATATATATATATATATATATATATATATATATATATATATATATTTTTTTTTTTTTAGGTTTTTTATATTGTGGACACAATATCTTTATTTTACATTTATGTGGTGCTGAGGTTCGAACCCAGGGCCTCATGCATGCTAGGTGAGTGCTCTACCACTGAGCCACCATCCGAGCCCATCCTTCTTACCTCAGGGCCTTTGCAGTTGTGTTCTCTGTTCCCTGATCTTTTTATAGCTAGCTCCTTTTTGTTATTTGGATCTTAGTTTAAATGTCATTTCCTCATGGTAACCTGACTGTCCTTCAGGGTTAGAAGCTTCTTGGTAACATTTGATGTTACTATAGTGATGGGGTCTCACTATGTTGCCCAGGCAGGCTCCACACTTCTGATTTATTTAGAGCAGTAGGCATTTTCTGAAATTTCCTTATTTATTTACAGGATTATGTTTCTTGTCTGTCTCCCCAAAAGAAAGTCAGTGCCCTGAGAGCACAGTATACATATCTTGTCCATGTCGTTCACCTGAGGGCGTAGATAATCCTTGGCACACAGAAGAGTCCCTTTCTGTTGCATAAGAGCAAGAAAAATAGATTTATATTGGAGTGAAATTTTGCAGAAAAGAAAAGAATAAGACTTTGTCCAAGGATGTAACTCTTAAAATAAGAGCTTGGTGTGGGAAGGTAGCTCAGTCTAGTGCTCTTACCTTGCATGTGCAAGGCCCTGCCTGAGGGTGGGTAATCAAATCAAGTAAGAGCTAACAATTACTGAGCACCTTCTCTCTGCTGGCATTGTTTTAAGGCCTTTTCACTTGTTAATTCATTTAAATCTTAAAGAAGCTTTGAGGAGATAATGGCTAGATGCTGAGCCTGCTTTCCTAGATACCCGCTAGGCCCAGTCTTGCCTTGATGTCATCTGCTCAAGAGGCCTTCCTCAGCTGCCTATTTAAAATCCTACCTCTTGCACCTTTGTTATCTCTTGTCTTGGCTTCTTTACTTGTGGGCACTTATTAACTTCAAGCCTGTTTTTTATTAAGAGATGGGGTCTCACTATGTTGCCCAGGCAGGCCCTACACTACTGGGCCCAAGAGATCCTCCTGCCTCAGCCTCCTGGGTAGCTAGAACTCTAGGCATGCTCCACTGTACCTGGTTAATATGTATTTTATTGCTTAAAAATTTCAGTCCCCTCTCTGAGGTGGGCATGGATTTCTTTTTTTACTTTAATATTTATTTTTTTAGTTGCAGTTGAACACAATACCTTTATTTTATTTATTTATTTGTATGTGGTGTTGAGGATCGAACCCAGGGCCTGACGCATGCTAGGTGAGCGCTCTACCACTGAGCCACAACCCCAGCCCCTGGTTTTCCTTTTTAAAGATGAGAAAACTAAGGCAGTTTTCTTTTTCCCTCTTGGTCTCAGACCCTACCCCAGATCAGCTAGATGAGAAACTGAGGTTGCCCTAGGTATTTGTCTTTTAGTTTGATTGGTATTTTTGATTTTTAATTTTTTTAAGGTACTGGTTATTGAACCCAGGGGTTCAATACTACTGAGCTACACCCCCAACCCTTTTTATTTTGAGACAGGATCTTGTTACATTGCTGAGGCTGGCTTTGAATTTGCAATCCTCCTGCCTCAACCTCCACAGTCGCTTCCTATAGGCATGTGTCACCATGCCTGCTTAATTTAAATTTTTAAAATTGTGATAAAATATACATAAAATTTACTTTTTGGAGGGAGATGGGTGATAAGTGGTATTGAACTTTGGGTCTGGCACATGCTAGCAAGCACTATACTACTGAGCTACATCCCTGGCCTCCCAAATTTACCATTTTAACCCTTTTAAGGGTACAGTTCAGTAGTGTTAAGTACATTCACGCTATGGAGTACCTAGTCTCCAGAACTATTTCATCTTGCCAAAATGAAGCTGTCCACACACTAAACAGTTCCCCATGTCCCCTCGCAGCCCCTGTTGTAGATATGTAGGTATTTTGTCCCATAATGGGGCAGAACATAAGAAATGGAGGGCGGGAGGCGGGGAGGGAGGGACAAACCTTGTCACCGGGAGGCCTACGGAGAACCTGGGAATGTGAAGCGGGCACAGCTGCTGGCTCTAGCCCGGCCCCTCCTTGCCGCCTGCAGCCTCTGCCACCTTTGAGGACTTCCAGATCCGCCCGCACGCTCTCACGGTGCACTCCTACCGAGCACCGGCCTTCTGCGACCACTGCGGCGAGATGCTCTTTGGCCTGGTGCGGCAGGGCCTCAAATGTGACGGTGAGAGGCGCGGGGCGGGGCGGGGCGGGGCGGGGCCCTGGGGGCGGGGCCTACGAGGTGGGACTCGGAGGGCGAGGCCGTGGGGTAGAGCTTGAGAGAGGGGCGGGGCTGGAGGCGGGGCCTGGAGGTGGGGTCTCAGAGCCAGGAGTACCCGCCCCCGGAGAGAGCTGGAGGGAAAAGTCCTGGGCTGTGGGCAGAGGGCACTGCCGCTTGTATCATTCCAACCTGAAGCAGCGAAACAGATCCAGTAGGAGATAATATTAAGAGATTTGTCTGAAAAAATCGGCTTACAGGATTGTGGGGCTGGCTGTGCCTGTCGGAATCCTCAGGGCACCCTGTCAGGGAGGGCGGGCGGGAACTGTCCACAGGGAGAAGTCTCAGCTCTGTTCTTGAACTCTTTCCATTGACTGAATCAGGACCATCAATCAAATAGGCCAGTCTCTCTCAGTACTGTCAACTCTGTAGACTTCACCCCATCTACAGATACCTTCGTGGGAGCACCTAGAGTAGTGCTGGAGTAACGGGGGACAGTAGCTTAGCCAAGCCAAGTTGACACAGCTGACCGCCAAGCCCACTCCACCTGACCTAATTTGCTAGGACTGCTGTAACAGAAGAGCACAGGCTGGGTGGCTTAAATGACAGGGGGCTTAGGGGAGCAATGTCTTTTGGAGAAGGTTGGGCGGTGTGGGGGAGGGCAGGGCAGGGTGCGGGGGTGATGGAGGACTAAAGCCTCTTAAAGGGGTGACAGGCGGAGGGGGAGCCTGCTCTGTCTCTGACCGTCTGGCGCCCCCCGCAGGCTGCGGGTTGAACTACCACAAGCGCTGCGCCTTCAGCATCCCCAACAACTGCAGTGGGGCCCGCAAGCGGCGCCTCTCGTCCACATCTCTGGCCAGTGGCCATTCAGTGCGCCTCGGCAGTTCCGAGTCCCTGCCCTGCACCGCTGAGGAGCTGGTGAGGGAGTAGGGAACGGGGAGGGTTGGGGGCTGGGGGCTGGGGGCTGGGAGGACTAGGGGTATGGGAGCCATGCACTGATGTGGCCTTCCTACTTCGGCCGACCTGTAGAGCCGTAGCACCACAGAACTCCTGCCTCGACGCCCACCCTCGTCCTCCTCCTCTTCTTCTGCCTCATTCTACACTGGCCGCCCCATTGAGCTGGATAAAATGCTGCTCTCCAAGGTCAAGGTGCCTCACACCTTCCTCATCCACAGCTACACACGGCCCACTGTTTGCCAGGCCTGCAAGAAACTTCTCAAGGGCCTCTTTCGCCAGGGTCTGCAGTGCAAAGGTTAGCTGGGCCCCAGCTGGGAGGAGCCAGGGCCTGGACCTCCCGCAGTCCCCAGTCTAAGTTGTGGGACAGAAGAATCTCAGTGTTCTGATCCTTTGATCAGCACAGGGCCTGAGAAGGGGTGTGCCCTGAATCCTGGAATTCTGGAAGTTTGGGGATTCTGGAATCCTAGAACCTTGGAAATCTAGATACATAACACATTTGGCATTGAATTCCCAGACTAATGAACTTGAGAATTCTAGAATCAGAGAAGCTAGAAATAAGATTCAGGAATTTTAAAATCAGAATTTAGCTAAAGTAACCACAGAACTTTAGGCCTTAAGTCTTAGAATAGCTAAGTTATAGATCTTTCAGAGTATTAGGATTTTAGAATCATGGGACTTGAATAATGGAAACCTGGAAGAATTACGTTTGAGAGTCTCAGAAGTCTAGAATCATGTAACCTTGGAAGCATTGAATCTTAGAATTTTAGAAATCTAGATGCTAGAATTTTGAATCATTGAATTCTAGAATCTTAGATGTACAGAACCTCAAAATCATCAGATTATGAAGGCCCAGAAGTCTAGAACTGAAGTATTACCAAATTTTAGAGTTTAAATATGTAGAATTCTAATCACTTGGACTTTAAGAAGTTTTAGAAGTCTAGAATCATAGAAGTCTAGATTCATAGATTTGTAGCATTCTAGAAAGTTGGATGCCAAACTCTGGAGCTTTGCAAATCCAGAATCACCCACTAAAAACTGGGATTTCAGTAAACTCTAGAATCTTTAATATATAATGTTCTAGAATCTGGAATCTTCAAACTCAAAGCAGTGGTTCTCCACCATGGGCAATTTTGTCCTAGGGGGATGTTTGGCAATGGAGACATTTTCATACCAGGATCATGCCAATGTCTTTCAGTGGGTGTAGATCAGGGAGGCTGCTAAATATCCTGTACTGGGCTGGGGTTGTGGCTCAGTGGCAGAGCGCTTGCCTCACACACGTGAGGCACTGGGTTCAATCCTCAGCACCACATAAAAATAAAGAAAGTAAAGATATTGTGCCCATAAATAACTTTTAAAAAATTAAAAAAAAAATATCCTGTACTTCACAGAACAGATCTACACAAAAAATGAATTACCCAGCCCAAAATGTTAATAGTGCCAAAGATCGAGAAACTCATTCCTGCCTGCAAGGATTCAAATCTCAGAGTCATAGGATGTTAGAGTCCGCCACATCCTAGGATTTTAGGAGTCTAAGTTAATGGAAACCTATAACTGTAGCCCCTTGGATCCGTAGTCTTAGGGCTTTTGTGTCTCCCCCTTAATCCAGTCTCTCCGTCATTGGGGAAGCCATGGCTCAAAGCAGGGAGTGGCTGGATCCACACAGCAAGGACAGACTCCTCTGAGCCTGGGGGTTGAGTGAAGGTTCAGTCCTAAGGTTCTCTCCTCCCCCTTCTACCTGTCCCTGTTCCCTGTCCTCCTCCCAGACTGCAAGTTTAATTGTCACAAACGCTGTGCTACCCGTGTCCCTAATGACTGTCTGGGGGAGGCGCTCATCAATGGAGGTAAGAGGCTAGGGTCCCTGGGAGGGAAGGTGGCTGGGGCAGGGCTGGGTGGAGCCGGTCTGATGCCCTGTCCTCCCAGATGTGCCAATGGAGGAGGCCACCGATTTCAGCGAGGCTGATAAGAGCTCCCTCATGGACGAGGCCGACGACTCCGGTGTCATCCCTGGCTCCCACTCAGAGAATGCCCTCCATGCCAGCGAGGAGGAGGAAGGCGAGGGAGACAAGGCCCAGAGGTACCCACGGATCCCCCTAGAGGCCCTTCCCCACTGCAAACCTCAAATGTCTCCATCTTCACAATGGGCTGACATCATCTTGATTTAAATTTTCCCAGTTCCTGAGGCAAACTTTTTTTTTTTTTTTTTAGTTGTAGATGGACACAACACCCCTGTTTTATTTACCTTTTTAAGTGGTGCTGAGGATCAAGCCCAGCGCCCCACACATGCTAGGCAAACACTCTACCACTGAGCCCCAGCCCCCTGAGGCACACCTTTTAAAGCACCAAAACTTTAAGGTTAACCTTTTTTCTTGATGGACATTTTTCAAAAGTTTTAATAGAAATATATTTTAACTTACACTGCTTTTTTGGAACTGGGAATACAGTCACTCAAAAGGTATATAATGAGGGCTGGGGTTGTGGCATGGTGGTAGAGCACTTGCTTAGCACGTGTGAGGCACTGGGTTTGATTCTCCGCACCACATATAATAAATAAAGATCCATTGACAACTAAACAATATTTAAAAAAAAAAAAAGGTATATAATGAAACCCTTCACATTCTTTGTCTCCCAGCTACCCAGTTTCTCTCTCTGGAGAAAGACACGGGATCAGTTTCTTGTGGCTCCTTCCAGAAAGTTTGTATTGCATTCTGACAGTATGTAGAGTAAGAACATTTGCTGGGTGTGGTAGTGCATACCAGTAATCCCAGCAACACAGGAGCATTGCAAGTTCAAGGCCAGCCTGGGCAACTTAAGAATTTGTTCTCAGACTAAATCCCTCCTAAGAGGATCATTATCCCCATTTCCAGGTTAGAAGATCGAGGCCCAGGGGCCTTGGCCAGTGATTATTAAGGGAGAGAAGCTGAGGCTTCCCCCAGAGGACCAGGGCAGCATGAACTCAGGGGAAGCAGCAGGCAGCTTCCACAGGTGCCTCAATAACTCTTTAATGACCTGCTGGAACCCACCTCTAAGCAAAGAGATGTGAATAGAACAGGGAGCACTCCGTTCGCGTGGCCTGGAGACAGCTAGTAAACACGGGCATCCAGAGCACCTGGAGCAGCAACTGCTGCAAAGAAAGATAAAGCACTGAGGACTGGGGACCTGGCCCTGGGGGAACCCACTTGCTTAGCCTGGGCCAGGCCCTGGGTTTGATCCTGTGCTGCAATAAATAAATAAAGCAACAAGAAGTGATAGTAAAAAAAAAAAAAGTCCCCTTCCTCACTGGTAAATCCTGAAAGGTGGCAACCCCTCCCTCCAAGTCCCTGACTGTCCAGAGGTGGCCTCAGTGGCACCAGGCAGTATGGCCACTTTCTGCCTGTGCCTTCTCACCCCTTCCTCTCCCCTCCACAGCTCCCTGGGCTACATCCCGCTGATGAGGGTGGTGCAGTCGGTGCGACACACGACCCGTAAATCCAGCACCACGCTGCGCGAGGGTTGGGTGGTTCATTACAGCAACAAGGATACGCTGGTGAGGGGGCGGGGCGGGGTTGGGGGTGGGCCGGATAGTCCGGGTGGGCGGAGCTTAAGGCAGAGCTACGGATTTGGGTTGTAAGGGTGGGGCGAGGCCCAGGGCAGGATTTAGAGAAGGGATGGGACCTTGGGGAAAGCAGGAGTTAAGGGCGGGACTACAGCTACAGGGGATGGGTCAGGTGGTGTTGGGCCTCTTCTCGGTGGGGGCGGGGCGGTGATCAAGTGGGACCAGGTGGGGTGAGACCAGAGAGGTTAAGGGAAGGGGTTGCAGTGGCGGGGCCACCCAGAAGACAGGCGAGGCGTAGGATGGAGTTGGGGCAGGGAGAGGGGCAGTGGCAGCCAGGCTGGAGGGTGACCTAACCTTAGAGAGGGGCTATGGGCGGGGCTAAGGTGGGTGGAGTCGGAGCTGGGAGGCGCAGGTGGGGCAGGGCCTGGGTTCAGGGGCGGGTGGGTTTTGGGAGGATAGGGTTTTGTCCAGCTACGATCAGGGTGGGTTAGAGGGAGGATAGAGAACCAGGGGCAAGGTCAGGGCTGGGGCGGGGCCAAGCGGGTTTGGTGGGGAAGGACCGGGTTAAGAGAGGAGCTTGGCTGGAGGAGTGTGCACGAGGAGCTTTAGGTGGCGGGAGCCTGGCGGTCAACGTCACCCTCAACACCTCCCCATCAGAGGAAGCGGCACTACTGGCGCCTGGACTGCAAGTGCATTACGCTCTTCCAGAACAACACGACCAACAGATACTACAAGGTGGGTCTTCCGTCTCCCCGCGCCCCCAGACTCCCTGTGCCCGCATCCTTCCTACTCCTCTCAGTCACTCCACCGAGGTCTCGCCAATCTCCTGTCCCCGCCGCCGCAGCTTCCCTGCTTCGTCCCATCATAAGTGCCGCCCATTTGATTCTGGTCCCCCCACTGCCCAGCTGGGCAGCCCAGGGCAAGTTCCTTTTCCTCTCTGTGTCTCATTTATCACCTGTAAAATGTCCCACTGGGCCTCAGGGCTGCTGCCATAATCCACGGAAAGCCAATAGCTTAGGGCCTGGCGTGTGTGAAGCTCCCGGGAACCATCAGCCTGATATTACTACTTTAGAATTTATTTACTTATATTTGTCGTCGTCACCCCCTCCCAAGCCAGAACCGTGTTCCGGCTGCCTCTCCACCTGGTGGTCGAGGTTGTCTCCTAGAGGGTCTTTCTTGTGCCCTGGCCGCCAGTCTTTTCCCACTCAGCAGCCAGAGGAGTCTTTTTTAAACAGCCCAAGCTTTGGTGGCTCCCGGTGCCCTTAGAAGGACGCCCAGGGTCCCCGCAGGCACCTTCCATGGACTGCTCCTCCCCATCCTGCCAGCCTGGCTCGACCCTGCCATTCTCTCGGTCCCACCACCTGGCTTTCTGCCTACCTGAGCCGTTGGTCTTCTGGCCTTCCTCTTCCTGTCTTCCCTTCTCTTTCAAAGCTTTTCCCCACCCCATGATGCCTTATTTTTCTGCCGTTGGGGATTGCAGGGGTGCTTAACCACTGAGCAACATCCCCAGCCCTTTTTAATTTTTTTTTTTTAATTTTTGAGAAGGACCTGGCTAAGTTGCTTGGGGCCTCCTTAAGTAGGTGAGGCTGGCTTTGAACCCCAAAGCCTGCCTCAGCCTCCCATGGTGCCTTTCCTCCCACCTACCCTCCACAGTCACAGGCTGCCCGTCCCCTGCTCAGAGCCCTTCAGAGTCTCCCTAGGGCCTCAGACAAAGTCCAGGCTTCTCTTTGTGGCCCACAAGGCCCTGTATGGCTTCATTTTTAAACACCTAGTGTGTGCCAGGCGCTGTCCCACATGACCTAGTCACTGGAGCACAGCAGGCCTTTCCTGGGGCCTTTGGACATGCGGTTCCCACCACTCCCTGACAGCTGGCCTCTTCTGCCAGGAGCCTTTCCTGCCACTTTATGCAAACCAGCCCTGTCCTTGGATGCCAGCTCCTGTGTGCCCCTCTGAGTGGCCCCAGGGCTGCCTGGGGTCCTTACCTGGGGTCCTTGTCCTGCCAGGAAATTCCGCTGTCAGAAATCCTCACCGTGGAGACTGCACAGAACTTCAGCCTCGTGCCTCCGGGCACCAACCCACACTGCTTCGAGATTGTCACTGCCAATGCCACCTACTTTGTGGGCGAGACTCCTGGTGGGGCTCCTGGCGGGCCGAGTGGGCAAAGTGCTGAGGCGGCCCGAGGTTGGGAGACAGCCATCCGCCAGGCCCTGATGCCCGTCATCCTCCAGGACGCACCCAGTGCCCCAGGCCACGCACCCCACAGTAAGTCCCCCACCCAGGCCCCCGAGAGGTTGGATCTGGAAGGGCTTGGTAGGACCCCAAGGATGGTAGGCAGTGTCAGGGCTGGGAATGTGACTTCTGGGCCCAGGGCTGAGATGTGTGGCCTCAGGCATATCACCTCCCCTCTTGAGCCTGTGAGAGGTGGCAGTGGCTCCTCATGCATTTCCTGAGGGTCTCCTGCTTAGCATGTGCTGGGCTGTGCTTGGGACACAGCGTGACCAAGACAGCCCAGGACCTGCTGTCCCTCCCAGTGGGGCAGAATACCTATCCCCAGGCAGCGATGACACAGTGAAGGCAGGACTGGGGCAGGGGAACCCGGAGGCCAGAGGGGCCCAGAGTGGGTGCCTGACTCCATCTGGGTGTCCGCAGGGCTTCCTGGAGGAGGCAGAAAGGGCCAGAAGGGGAAAGCAAAGGGGAATCCCTTTGGACATGGCAGAGGGTAGTCACTGTTCCCAAACGACCAGAGTGATGCAGAAGGTCAGCTACAGTAATCTGACGTGGACCCCAGAATGGCATTTGTGCTGAGACTGAAGGATGAGGAGGACTTGGCTGAGTCTGGAGTGACAGAAAGGGCTTTCCTGGCACAAGAACAGCATGTGCAAAGGCCAGGGGGCAGGAGAGCGCTTGCTGAGTGTTAGGTCCAGCGAGGAGGTCAGAGGGCTGGGAGCACACAGCAGCTCGGGGGGGCGAGCTCAGTAGATGAGGGACTTGACCATGGTTTCTAGGCCAGTTAAGGGGCCTGGGCTTCCCCATGAAGGGCCATTAGGAAGGAGCAGGATGGGGGTACGGAAGTCAGGGCAGAGTCTGGGGGACAGAGGTTTGGATGAAGGATGGTGAGCAGGGGCTGTGGGGAGGTGAGGGGGAGAGAGGCTTTCAAACAGTAGAAGGACTGGGGCTTTGGAAACGTCTGGCTCTAGGTTTGTAGTAGGGAAAATTCAGGGGAAGTTGCTGGAATCACTTTGGACTTTCCCTCCAAGCCTGTTTTCTTAGTAAAATGGCCTCCCTGGGTAAAATGCTCAGCGTGTGGTTTGTGACATCACTTTTTCAGCCCCTCAGAGCATCTCAGGTACTCCTCCCAGTGGCCCATTTCCTAGATGAGGAGACTAAGGTTCAGGGGTGGCCAGGTCACAGTCCTGTGCAAAGATGCTCTTGATTCTAACTTGGGTGGTCTGGCTCCAGAGGCAGTCTTTGGAGGGATGGCTGAAGGCAATCCTGAGCCTGGGGGTCCTCTTACCTCTGCTCTCCCCTCACCCCAGGACAAGCATCTCTGAGCATCTCTGTGTCCAACAGCCAAATCCAGGAGAATGTGGTAAGATACCCACCCACACCTGATGCCTCCCCTCCCCACACAACCTCCCCATCTCCATTTTCACCTCTGCCCCTCCTTGTCCCCACCCTGCAGGACATCGCCACTGTCTACCAGATCTTCCCAGATGAGGTGCTGGGCTCGGGGCAGTTTGGAGTGGTCTATGGAGGTGAGGACACTCGGGAGCTAACCTAGGGGCTGGGCGGGGCCTGTCTGTCTGGGCTCCCTTTCTGATTGGCCACGTGCTCCCCTCCCGTTTTGATTGGCCGAGATTCTGGGCGCTCTTGGTTGTAGGCTCCCACTTTCTCAATGGAAAAACTGCCGGGCTTGCCTCCTGCACTCTGATTGGACACGGGGCTCTATCCTTGATTCTCATTGGCTCTAATCTCGTTTCCCGTATTATTTCCCTCCTTGAAGCTTTTTGCCTTCGTTCACTCCACCCTTCAGAGCCACCCAGATGGTCTTCCATCACCTTTGCCCAGCTGCCTGGGTCTCCACGGTTGGGGGTGACAGCAGGGGCGGGGCGCCTCCTGCAGGTGTGGGAGGTCCTGTTCCCCCTCTCTCACCAATCCTTCCCGTTCCTCAGGAAAGCACCGGAAGACGGGCAGGGATGTGGCAGTGAAGGTCATTGACAAATTGCGCTTCCCCACCAAGCAGGAGAGCCAGCTGCGGAATGAAGTGGCCATTCTCCAGGTGACCACCGGGGGTCTGTGGAACCAGCTGTGCCCTGCCCCAGAAAGGCCTTCCCTTCCTGCTTCTTCCTTTCAAGGGCAACTTGGCCTAGTCAGGGAGGGCTTCCTGGAGGAGGGAACATGTGTGTTTTGAGGCTGAGGGGGTGAGGTGTTCGGAGCAGAGGAACCAGGCTGTGTAAAGGCCGGGGTAAGGAGACATGAGGTCTCCGGAAGGAGGGGGTGGGAGGAGAGGCCAGGGAGGACTGTGGTGCTAGAGCCAGTGGGCTTTCTCCTGAAGGTACTTGGGAGCCTTAGGAAGAATTTTGAGGGCTAGAGGTGTAGCCAAGTGGTAGAGGGCTTGCCTAGCATGTGAGAGGCCTTCGGTTCCATCCCCAAGGTCACACACACACACACAAAGTAATAACTAACAACAACAACAACAAAATAGCCAGACACGGTGGTGCACATCTGTAATTCCAGTGACTTGAGGCTGAGGCAGGAGGATCACAAGTTTGAGGCCAGCCTCAGCAACTTAGTGAAACCCTGTCTCAAAATAAACAGCAAAAAGGCCCCTAGGGGAGGTGGCTCAGTGATAAAGTGTCCTGGCTCCAATTCCTGGGATCAAATAATAATAACCACAGAAATTTTTAAAGAGGATTTTGAGCAAGGGAAGGTCAGGATCAGGAGTGGAATTTAGGAAACTCTCTAGCCACCATCTGGGGGTGGAAAGGGAGGTGAGGAATCTGGGGCTCAGGGAGGAAGGGACCGAGCAGAACTGGGGTTAGGGCGCAGCGATGTAACAGAAATGAGCACTAAACAAACCCAGAGACACAGACGCAGAGCTCCCTCCATCTGCCCAGCTCCTCTCCCCTCACCAGCGCCACCCGGGGGCGTCCTTCTTGTTTGCCATTTCTGGCCCTCTGGGGTCTGAGTTCAAACCCTGTCCCCTCCGCGACCCCCGCAGAGTCTGCGGCACCCCGGGATCGTGAACCTGGAGTGCATGTTCGAGACGCCCGAGAAGGTGTTCGTGGTGATGGAGAAGCTGCACGGGGACATGCTGGAGATGATCCTCTCCAGCGAGAAGGGCCGGCTGCCCGAGCGCCTCACCAAGTTCCTCATCACCCAGGTGAGCGCGCCGGCACCCCCTGGCAAGGCCCTGCTGCCTGCACCCCGGGCCGGGAGGGCGGGGCCGGGGGAAGATGAGGCAGGCGCTCTGGTCCCGACTCTCCCCGCCTGGGAAAGTGGGAAAAAAGCCTTTTCTCCCTCTTGTCATTCATTCGATCATTTGTTAAATTCTTGGACAACATGCTGGTCCCATATTGGGCTGTGCTGGGGAAACAGTGGTAAACTGAGATACCTCCAGCCCTAGATGGTGTCACCCAGAGTGGGCAGCGCTGGCACAGGGGAGGTTGATCATGACGATGATAAATTAACGTGGACACTGACATTTATTGAGCACTCACAGTCAGGCAGCTCTATTACTCATTTAATCTTTAAGAAACTTATGTGGTAGGTGCTATTATGACTATCATTATTACCATTACTCCTCTTTTCTAGTTGAAAAAACTGAGGCTCAGAGATGTCAAGGGTCACAGAGTCACATAGCATCTGTGGCCCAGGGTCACAGAGCATCTGTGCTTTTTAATTAGTCATGTCAAATCACTTTATTTTGCATGCAGATTATGTATGTGAGCTTTTTCATTGGTTTTATGTCGTAGCATTGTGTGTTGTTCTGCTCTTTATGCTTTTCACTTTAACAGTAGTTGAGTAAACAGTAGTTGATGTAAATCACCAAATTCCCAGCTGATGGCCATGTAGGTTGTTTTAACTTTTGTGTCTTTATAAAGCATATCCTATACACCCATCACAAACATCATTGTCCTCTGGTGGGAGAATTTCTTTCTTTTTCTTTTTGGTAATGGGGTTGAACCCAGTTGGGGTTAACCACAAAGCCACATCCCCAGCCCTTTTTACTTTTTATTTTGAGACAGGGTCTCACTAAGTTGCTGAGGTTGACTTTGAACGTGTGATTCTCCTGCCTCAGTCTCCCATGTTACTGGGATTACAGGTGCATGCCCACCTGACTTGGTGGGAGAATTTTGATAGAATACATTTCAAGTAGCAGACTTTTTTAATATTTATTTTTTAGTTGAAGTTGGACACAACACCTTTGTTTTATTTATTTATTTACTTATTTTTAGAGAGAGAGAGAGAATTTTAATATTTATTTTTTTAGTTTTCAGCAGACACAACATCTTTGTTTGTATGTGGTGCTGAGGATCGAACCCAGGGCCTCTAGTCGAGTGCTCTGCCGCTGAGCACAACACCAGCCCCATCAAGTAGTAGAATTCTGAGTCTTGAAAAATGTGTGCTGCAAGTTTTTTTAAAAAAGATGTTCTCTGAAACCTAAAATAACTGGGTTTCATTCTCTAAAATGCTTTTCAATCTTTACTCCCACAAACAGAGTACTATTTTCTTACTTCTCATTGATACTGAATAAAAGTAAATGTTATGTTATATTATAGGTAGAAAAATATTATTTTTCTAGTTTTTTGGGGGGTGGGTACCAGGGATTGAACCCAGGGGCACCTAACCACTGAGCCATATCCCTAGTCATTTTTATTTTTTTTCTTTTGAGACAGGGCCTCACTCAGTTGCTTACAGACTCTCTAGAATACTGAGGCTGGCTTCGAACCTGCAGTCCTCCCAGAGCCCTCAGTCTCCTGAGCTGCGGGGATTACAGGCATGCACCACCACGCCCAGCCATTTTTCTACATTTTATGGCTTTATTTGGCATTTTTAAAGTTATGGATAAGGTTGAGCATTTTGTCAAGTTGATTGGCTGGTGTTTTTTTCTTTAATGTGCCTATTGCACATTTTTTAGTTGGATTGTTCTTTTGCTTATTGAATTTAAGAGCTCTTTGTATATGAGGGATCTTAGATCTTTGTCACTTACCCTGTTTGATTCTTTGATTACAGTATTTGCTTGCCTGTTCATTTTCTTTGTGGCTTTTGTCATAGAGAGTTTTAACTTTTCAGTGTTAAATGTTCCCTATTGTGGTTTCTGGGTTTCACATCCTTCCTAGAAGGGCCTTCCCATCTGGCTGGGACCCACATTATTCTGAGATATCTTTTTTTGTGGGGGGAGGGTGGACAGGGGATTGAACTCAGGGGCACTTGACCACTGAGCCACATCCCTGATGTATTTTGTATTTTATTTAGAGACAGGGTCTCGCGAGTCCCTTAGGGCCTCGCTAAGTTGCTGAGGCTGGCTTTGAACTTGTGATCCTCCTGCCTCAGCCTCCCAAGCCACTGCCATTACAAATGTGCACCAGCCGGCCCGCTGAGACATCTCTTGGTTGCAAAGCACCCTGTGCTGTGCTTGCTTTATCCACCCCAGCACCCTCACTCTCTCCTGCAGGGGCCTGAGTTTATCAGGCTGGTTTGTGGGTGGGACCCAGACCCGGTGAGGCAGGTGCGTGGAGACTTGAGGTGGGGAGAGGGAACTGAATGCTTTTGGCAATCTAGGAAGTTTCTTTTTCTGGTCTTCCATTCCTTCCTGTCTTTTTTCCTGCTCTTTCCTCTTTCTCTCTCCCTCCCACAGATTTCCGCTCTCTGGGCTCTGGCCTGCTCCACCCCTCAGGCCTGTGCTAAGTTCTTTATGTCATGAACTTATTTAGGCCTCACACCACCTTCTGAGGTAGGTATCATTGTAACCTGTTTCAGAGATGAAGAAACTGAGGTTGAGGGCAGTGCCAGGTTTTGAGGTCACACAGCTGCGCAGCTGGCTGGCCACGATGGACCTGGGTCTCTCCGGCTGTCATTCTGTCCTGTTCGCCGTGTTCACTGGGAGACAGGTGAACCACCAGGAAATCTGGAGAAGACAAGTTCACAGCCATGTTTCCATCTCAGTCTCAGATGAGAAATGAGTCTGTGACCACAGCCGTGGCTTTCAATATTGCCTTCGGACAGAGTCTCCTAGTGACAGTGTCAGGCTTACATAACTCTGGGCTTCCAGTATATTTGGTATTTGTTTGGTTTACACAGAATCGAGACAAAATCGTAGTGCCCACAGGTCGGTGGCTGCAAAGCGTAACAACCAGTTTTGTTTTGTTTTAATCAGCTCATCTTGCCATCTTAAACCACTTTAAGGAGCAGATACAGCTTTGAGAGACACATAAATATTTACCAGCAGGCCACTGTAAAGATAATAACAAATAATACCAGCAATGATGCAGCAGGGGCTTTAGCTAAGATTTCAGTTGCAAATGGTCAACTGCAAGTTGAAAACAATAAGTTGAAAATACCCAAAATAAGCAATTCACACTTTTTTTTGGTACCAGGTTTGAACCCAGATATACTTAACCACTGAGCCACATCCCCAGCCCTTTTTATTTTGTGAGAGGACCTTGTTGACCTGCTGAGGCTGGCTTCCAACTTGTGATCCTCTTGCCTCAACCTCCCAACTTGCTAGGATTTTGGCATGCGCCACCATAACCAGCTTTCATGGAACATCTTAAAACATTTCCTCAAGCATAAGGAGATTTCTAGCCAAGCATGGTGGTGCATATCTGTATTCCCAGAGGATTGCAAGCTCGAGGCCAGCCTCAGCTATTTAGTGAGGCCCTGGCTCATAATTTTTAAAAGGACTGGGGATGTTGCTCAGCGCCCCAGGGTTCAATCTCAAGTACCAAAATTAAATGTGCGAGGGGGGATTTCTGCAGCTCTCCTTCAGTGCTTTTCTATACCAGGCTCTCTCTCAAGCACTGGACAGACATCCACTCCTTTAAACTTCACAGGAGCCTCTGGGGTGGGTAGTATTATTACCCCCTTTTTACAGATGAGAAACTGAGACCCATCGAGGTGAAGTCGCTTGCCCACAGTCATAAGTCAGTAAGTCCAGAAAAACTGCCAGGTCTTCCACCAGGCAGGCGGCTCCAAGTCTCCTGCCTCTCAAGAGTTACATTTGGTCTATAACCCAGCTCGCAATTCTGTTGTTTGTAGTTTGTGTTGCTTTCTATTGTAGTTTTTAAAGGGTTAAAATAAAGAAAACTTCCACAATAGAGCCTTCTTGGAAGCCCCTGTTCTAGTCGTAGCTGGAGCTGTGTAGGCGTTTACCGCATGTCAGGGGTCTCAGTTTCCCCCTAGTCCCCCCCCCAGCCCACCTTGCTAGAATTCTGGACCCAACTTTTGCTCTCAGGTGTAAAGGACTCTGGGGTTCTGAGGTTCTTTGGTGTTGGTGACGCCACCCCTGGCCTGGGGGAGGGGTCTTCAGGGCACAGAGCAAGGCTTGGTTGGGGCTGGGGGGCTGGCTGCCCAGGCGGACTCCAGGACAGGTGCCTTCTCACTGCTCCCTCTCCTCAGATCCTGGTGGCACTGAGACACCTTCACTTCAAGAATATCGTCCACTGTGACTTGAAACCGGAAAACGTCTTGTTGGCATCAGCTGACCCCTTTCCTCAGGTCAGTCATGTTCCCCCCTGATCTGGGGAGGTCCAGTCCATTGGTGGGTGGGGACTTAATAATCAAGATATAGGTGTAGCTGCTGCCGCAGGATCTTGGAACCCAAGAAGACAACGGCTCAGATAAGGCGGACACAAACCTTCTGGGGCTGGGAAGGTTCGTGGTGTTGGGGGCCAGGCTTCCTGCTGTCTTGTAGCCTCTCTGTTGGTGCTGGCCTCCCTGGCCCAGGATGGCCTCTCATGTCTTCTTGCTAGGAAAAAAGGAGGAGAGGAAAGGTAGAAGAAATGGATGCAGCCCTTTCTTTCAGTAAGGTGGTACTTGGAAGTAGCATCACTTCATCTCATGTCCCATTGGCCAGGACTTGATCACATGGTCATAGCAGGCTGCAAAGGATCCTGGGAAATGTAGTCTTTATTCTGGGTAGTCATGTGGTCCACAAAATTCATGATTTTTATGAAGGGAAATAGTTTTTGAGAAGTCTCTGGTTAGCAGGTAACAACTTCCTTCTAGGAGGAGCTGGCTTGGGCAGGGTGAGACCATAACAGCTATAACTTATTAAGTACCTACTGTGTGTAAGGGCCTATGGTTATGGGTTTTTATCTGGTCCTTCCACATCCCTGTGGAGTTTGTACTTTGTTGTCTGTGTATTGAAGATCCTGTCTGTGCCCAGGGGATGGCCATCTGTGTCAGTATTTGGAGGGGGGTTGCCTCCCTAGGGACATTTAATGTTGTTGGAGACAGTTTTGGTAGTCACAACTGTGGCGGGGGGGGGGGGGGGTGCTACTAGCATCTAGGGACACTGTTGAACATCCTACAGTGCATAGGACATTCCTTCACAGTGATGAATCATCTGGCCCTGAATGTCAATAGTGCTGAGCTTGAGAAGCTTGGATTTAGAGCAGTGATTTCCACGAGAAACATAAAACAGGCCAGAGATCGAATTTTGCTTTTGTGTGCTTGTGTGGTGCTGGGGACTGAACCCAGGGTTGCTCTACCACGGAGCACACCCTAGCCCTTTATATTTTTACTTTGACACCAGGTCTTGCCAAGTTCTGAGGCTGACCCTGTACTTGAGATCCTCTTGCTTCAGCCTCCCGAGACACTAGATTTACAGGCGTGCATCACTGTGCCCAGCCCATGAGCAGCACTTTAAACACCTGGTCCTGTTGAGTCCCCAGAAAGCCTGAAAAGAGGCTGCTACACTCATCCTCAACTCAGATGACAAAAACCAAGGCCTAGAGCGGTTGGGCCCCTGGCCTAAGAGCCCCGAGGCCTATTCTGTGCTCCAACAAGCATTGCGTGTGTTCTTCCATTCGTCCACCCTCTGAGGTGGGGACAGTTGAGATCTCCATGGTGCAGAAGGGATGAGACCCATGCTAGGGGGTGGAGGTATAACTTCAGGGAGCATTCATTGAGCGCTGGCTGCATGCTCCTTGAGATGAGGAAACAGAGGGAAAGTCACCTGCCAGGGTCCCTTGGTTAGTGAGCTGGGTCCAAACCTGTGTTTGACTTTCTTTGAAATACCTTGGCGGGTGGTTGGTGGCTTCATCACTCCTCACAGCCTCCCCCGGTCCTGCTCCACAGGTGAAGCTGTGTGACTTTGGCTTTGCCCGTATCATTGGAGAGAAATCCTTCCGGCGCTCAGTGGTGGGCACACCTGCCTACCTGGCGCCCGAGGTGCTGCTCAACCAGGGCTACAACCGCTCCCTGGACATGTGGTCAGTGGGTGTGATCATGTATGTCAGCCTCAGTGGCACGTTCCCCTTCAATGAGGACGAGGACATCAACGATCAGATCCAGAACGCTGCATTCATGTACCCAGCCAGCCCCTGGAGCCACATCTCAGCTGGAGGTGAGTGCGGTGGGTTGGCAGGGAGAGGTGGGGGGTGGGTGTGGCCAAGAAGCCCACCCCCATCTCAAGAGTGGAGGTCCTGAGGCTGCTGGTGCAGAGGGCTGAGCCTCCTGATGGGGCTGGACCACAGGAGGGGCCATACTGTGAGTGGTGGAGATGGAAACCAGAGTGCTGGAGACTAGGTTTAGACTAGGTAATGTGGGTTAGAAAACGAAGCTCCGCCAGGCCTTGTGGTGCACAACAGTAATCCTCACAGCTCAGGAGGCTGAGGCAGGAGGATTGGGAGTCCAAGGTCAGCCTCAGCAACTTAGCAAGACCCTACCTCTCAATAAAACATAAGAGGACTGGGGATGTGGCTCAGTAGTAAGCGCCGCTGGGTTCAATACCCAGTACAAACAAACAAACAAAACCCACGGAACTCCACAAAAGTGCTTAGATTGATACTGGGAGTCCTGGGAACCAAGTGAGACTTGACTTGGCCTGTCTGGGCTACTGGCGAGGAACTGGACCTGAGGAAGCCAAAAGAATGGGGTGGCCTAGAAAGGGGCAGACCCTCCCAAGGCAGTCACTGGAGCCTGGAATCTGAGACCAATCGTCTGCAACAAGAGGCGACGGGTCACACTGCTCACAGAGTGAGGCCTTGTCCTCCAGGCTTCTCACTGGGGAGAGCTCCTCAGAGGACACCTGACTGACCAACACCCGGCTCTCCACAGTCCTCCTCTCCACTAAGATCGGCCTCAGCCCCTACACTCGGCCTGCAGCCGTGACTACGGAATATTTGTTAACATGGTGTTTTCATTTTGCTTTTGTGGATACAGCCAGTGATGGTTGGATTTCTACTAACCAGCGTGATGTGACATTTCCACTTGAAATACATGTTTTTCAATTTAAAAAGTGATTTTTTTTTTTTTTTTTTTTTTTTGGTGCTGAGAATCAAAACCAGTGCCTCACACATGTCAAGCAAGTGCTCTACCACTGAGCCACAAGACCAGCCCCGGTTCACCTTTTAAATTAAAAAATAATAATAATAGTTTTGAGACTGGGTCTTCCTAGGTTTCCCAGGCTGGTCTTGAACTCCTAAAGGGTCCTCCTGGGAGAAAAACCAAAAAGGATCCTCCTACCTCAGCCTCCCTGGTAGTGGGTACTAGGGGCATGTGCCACTGTACCCTGCCCCTGTTCACATTTTTAAACATAGGAAAAGGTCTGCAGTGAAAATTCTCTTTCATTCCTTCCTTTTCTGTTCTTTCCAAAGACAATGGCAATGCCATTAGACACGATGTGATACATGTATGTATATATGACATATATATAATATGTGTCATATACATCATATATGCTTTGTCCTCATAACAGATTTTGGTTATAAATAACTTGAGTTAAAGAAAAATATTAAATGGAGACTAGTGCAGTGAGCCTGTATGTACCTATGTGCGTCAAAAATTGTGAAGGAGATGTGGAAACAGGGAACTGAGGTAGAGAATTGGTGAAGCCGTGTAGGAACTAGGAGAGACACAAGGAGAGACAATTTTATGATTTAATGAGAAAAATCAGAAACTCCGCAGGTATGTGATTGGCACAGGTGAGGCTCCTGAGCCGCCTGAGCTAGGCAGGTGGGCTGCTGGCCTGCTGGGAGGGAGGCACCGGTCAGCGGGCAGGACTTGAACTCTGTCCTTCTGCGCAGCCATCGACCTCATCAACAACCTGCTGCAGGTGAAGATGCGCAAGCGCTACAGCGTGGACAAGTCTCTCAGCCACCCCTGGCTACAGGTGCCTTGGGGGCGGGTGGTCACCCTGGCTGGGGTGGGGGTGGGCCTAAATCTTTTTGGCCGGGCAGGTAGCGGGAGACTAGGTAGGTTTTCCCTGGAGGGGGAACTAGCTAGGCCTCCCATTGGCTGGGCTGGGAGAGGGGGTGGGCTGGATGTCCGTTGGGGGGCAGGTTGCGGAGGGTGGGGTGGCACCCTCCCTGGGTGCAGATGGTACCCCGGCAGGGCAGACCCCGCCGGCGCCGCTCTGGCTCAAACTGGCTGCCCAGGGAGCGGCCCAAGCTAAGCCCAGTTCTCCGGGCCCAGGAGTACCAGACGTGGCTGGACCTCCGAGAGCTGGAGGGGAAGATGGGCGAGCGGTACATCACACACGAGAGCGACGACGCGCGCTGGGAGCAGTTTGTGGCCCAGCGCCTGCTGCCTGGCCCCGGGCTACCTGCCGAAACGGAGCTTGGTGGCACCCGTTTGCCACAGGACCACGAGATGCAAGGACTGGCCGAGCGCATCAGTGTCCTCTGAGTGTCCCCGCCTGGTTGTCGCCCTCGGGAGCAGCCTTACATACCATCCCAGGAACAAACTGTTCTAGGGGAAGTGGCTTCCTGCCCACACCGATGGGACATGTGCAGGGGGCTGGGGTGGGGAGTTATTCCCAAAGGCCCCCTCCCCCTCCCCCAATATTAAAATGGACTGGTCTCTGGCCCCATGGCCTTGGTCTTGGCAGCTCCACACTCGGGAAGAAGGACTTGGGGAACAGGAGGGGGACGGGAGGTGGGGAGTTTTGGAAGGAGGACCGGGCTGGGATAGAGCATATGCAGGGAGGAAATGAAGGGGAAGGAGCATGACATGGGGTGGGTAGAGGAGCCTGAGAAAAGCACAGAGCTCTTCCCCTTTGGTAGGGCGGCAGCTGATAAAACCACCTTAAGTAAAAAATGCATTTAATCCACCGACTTTATCAAACATCACAATAGCAACACAGTTCACTGTTGTTCCCCTCGGGATTTCCGGGGTGTTGCCCAAGTCTGTTCTGCATATCATTAGTCTAGGAAAAGAGCAAAATTCAAAATTTGAATTCTGGTACCATGGTAAGAGTTGAAATGTCATAAACCAAACCGTCAGTAGCAGCAGACCATCTGCAATCTCAGTTTGCCATAATCAATTTCTTATTTGGTGTCACTACCAATCATGATTATTAACAATGCGATTGGTCTTGTAAGTGGCCCAGACTGGCCTCAAACTTGTGATCCGCCTGCCTCAGCCTCCTGAGTAGCTGGGATTATGGGTGTGCACCACGGGGCCTGGCAGTATTTTCTTTTGTACTGACTTCTTGACACCCCAAATGTACTCATCCACTCATGTGGGTCACTGTGCTGAGTGATTCTGGGGACTCAGTGTGACCAAGACAGCCCAGGCCCTGCCCTCATGAAGTTCACCGTCCAGTTCATTATCCTGTGCTTGGACTGTGATGATCCAGCAGGGCTGGGCTGGGGAGCAGACTAGGGGCAGGAGGGGGGTTGTCTGAACAGACCTTTTAAGCTTGATCTTAGTTCTGAGGTGGTGGGCGGAGCAAATGGCCCAGAAGGAACTTATGTCTACCTCTTCTGTTTTGGTGGGGGGAGGGGTTACTGGGGATTGAACTCAAGGGTGGTTGACCACTGGGCCACATCCCCACTCATTTTTTGTATTTTATTTAGAGACAGGGTCTCACTGAGTTGCTTAGTGCCTCACTTTTGCTAAGGCTGGCTTTGAGCTGGTGATCCTCCTGTCTCAGCCTCCTAAGCTGCTAGGATGACAGGCATGAGCCACCATGCCCGGCCTTCTGCTTTTGACCTCTGCCGGCTACCTCCCTGACTTTTGGTCCTCTACCCTTCACAGTTGAGAGTGAATAATCTGAGCATGCATATGGATGCGTCCTCTTTAAAACCTGGGCATGCTCCGGCTTACCGAACCTAAAGACTACCTGAGCTCTGTAGAACAGGGGGAAAGGTAGCAGCCAGTTGAAGCTAGGACTGACCTGGGGCTCTCCAGCACTTACCAACTTAGAACAACTTGTCCACCTGCTGGTTGGCTCCAGAGCTGCAGCTCTTTAATTTGAAAAAAGTGAGCCTCAGTAAATGAGGATTTCCCAAGGGGCAGCCACATCTCCGAGAGCAAATACTATGGGGAAAATCTTTTGGACCCATGCCAAGTGCCTGTCCTCTGAAGGACAGATCACACAGAGATGACTCCATCTCCAGTGACAGACCCTGGCCAGAAAGCAGATGGAAAACCATTGCCACCTGGCAATCCCACTCCAACCTTGGCCACCAGTTTTGTTAACATGCTGAGACCAGGAGTTAAGAGACAAAAGCGTGCTAACTGCGAAAATGCCTCAATTACAGAATTCCAGAATGTCCAATGTCATGAGGATGCTGTGGCAGGTCAGTCAAATCCACACCACACAAACTTAGGGTCCTACAACCTAAACCGTTAGAGATAAAAGGTCCATTGCACCGGGTGTGGTGGTGCATATCTATAATCCCAGCGCTCAGGAGGCTGAGGCAGGAGGATCTCAAAACCAACCTCAGGGGGCTGAGGTTGTGGCTCAGTGGTACGGCACTAGCCCAGCACATGGGAAGCACTGGGTTCGATCCTCAGCACCACATTAAAATAAATAGGGGCTGGGGTTATGACTCAGCAGTAGAGCACTTGCCTAGCATGTGTGAAGCACTGGGTTCAGTCCTCAGCATTCAAAATAAATAAATAAATAAAGGTATTGTGTCCAACTATATACACACACACACACACACACACACGCGCGCGCGCGCACACACACAGCAATTTAGGGAGACCCCAATTATTCAGCAAGACCCTGTTTCAAAATAAAATATAGAAAAAGGCTAGGGAGGCTGGGGCTGGGGCTCAGTGGCAGAGCACTTGCCTTGCACATGTGAGGCATCGGGTTTGATCCTCAGCACCACATAAAAATAAATATATCTATTTACAACTAAAAAAAAATTTAAAAAGGCTGGGGATGTGGCTCAGTGGTAAAGTGCCCCTGGATTCAATCCCTGGTATCCCCCCCACCAAAAAAACAAAAAAACCATTGCATCAGGGCCATCAGTCACCACAGAAGGTATTCTTGATAGGGACACTTGTAGGTACTTACTACAAAGAAAAGGGACATTAAACCTGAGACTGTCCAGGTTAAAAATGCAAAAATTGATTCAAGTTGAAGATTCAGGCTCCCAAATGACGTTTCCAGCAGATGTTGTCCTGTGGGTCCACAAATACCCCTCAAGTCACAGGAGGATGTGGTCACCATCCCATCAACAGGCATCCTGCCAAGGTTTTAGCAGACAGGGCCTCACCCTCACACCTACACAACAGTAGTCATGACAAGGCCACGTGGGTCACGTGGTTCATGCTCATCTAAGCCACTCTCGGGCTTGGACCCCTTATTACCTAGCATAGTTTTTTAGACTAGACCAATAAGTACTGTAGGAAGGGATGTTCTCTCTCTCAGTCTGGAAAGCTAGCGTTTCATGTTCATGAGCGTCTCTCAGACCCAGCCTCTGCCCCTAACCATTTCCCTAACCATTTACTCAGGACCTATCAGACCCACATATTCAGTGTCTGCTGACCAATACTCCTGGTTCTCTTGGGGCTGCCAACCCAGCAATCATGGGTGCATCTGGGAGTCCAAACTGCTGAAGGGGGAAGTAGTTTCTTTGGTTTGTTTGTTTTTGTACTGAGGGTTGAACCCAGGGAGGCTTTACCACTGAGCTGCATCCCTAGTCCCTGCTTTTTAATGTATTTAACTTAGAAACAGGGTCTTGCTAAGTTGCTGAGGCTGGCTTTGAACTTGTGATCCTCCTGCCTCAGCCTTCCTAGACACTGGGATGACAAACATGCACCACTGCACTCAGCCCCTTTTTATTTTTTGAGACTAAGGCTTGCTAAGTTGCTCAGGGCCTTGTTAAGTTGCTGAGTACTGCCCTCACAGTTGCAATCCTCCTGCCTCAGCCTCCCGAGTCATTGGGATTCCAGGCATGCACACACACAATGGTGAAATAGATCCTTTTATGTCTCTCCTGAAACCGCCTTCATACTCACCCAGAGGCCCACGGGGACCTCCAGCCCATCACTTAGAGCCTCATAATGTCCACCCCTGCCCCTGCCACATCCTGTCCATCATGTATTTCAAAGGTAAAGGGTACTGGCTGGTCGGAGACCTCTGGGCTGTAAATGAAATCGTCAAACATAGGTTCCTCCTGGTCAGCGGTCCAAAGGCCACCCTGTTCTACCTCCCAGCACACCCGCTCCAGTGTTCTTTCACACACCCTTGCTTCACGATGGTTCTCAACCTTTTTTGCTTCCCCCAGAAAGTCACCAATAAACGTGGAGAGCAGTGTCTCAGTGTCTCCTTGGAACATCTACTTTTCTCAGATCCTGAATGATAATTTGAGAGATTTTGTTTTCCCTTGCAATTCTACTCCCATCCGGTGGTGAACTCTGCCCAGTCTATTTCAACAGCTCCCTCATTGACACCTGGTACCTGCCCCAAGCCCTGGCTTATAAAGGACACAGGGGGTCTAAAGGCTGATTCCAATGACACAACTCATGAGAACACTATGTGGGACATGAACTTGCCCAGGATGGTAAAACCTTATAGAAAGCATTTACTCCATTTTCTTTTATCCAAGACTAAAAGGCAAGTCAGACAAATTCTGAGCCGGTCATGGGTTAAATTTTGCACCCCCAATTAATGGGGGGGGGGATATGCTGAAGTCCTCTCTTCCAGGACCTCTGAATGTCACCTTATTTGGAAATAGAGTTGTTGCTGATTGCTTAATTAAAATGAGGTCATTCTGGAGTAGGGTCTCTAATCCAACAGGCTGGTGTGCTTATAAGAAGGTGGCCATGAACCCGGCACAGTGGGGCTCGCCAGTAATCCCAGCTACTTGGGAGTCTGAGTCAGGAGGATCACAAGTTTAAGGCCATCCACAGCAATTTAGCAAGGCCCTCTCTCTCTTAAAAAAAAAAAAAAAAAAAAAAAGTCCTGGGTATGTGCCTCAGTGGGTAAGTGCCTTGGGTTCAACCCTTGGTACAAGAAGAAAAGGAAAAAAAAAAAAGTGGCCAAGGATGCTTCAGGCAGAAACTGGAGGAAGGCTGCAGAAACTAGGGAGAGGCAAGGAAAGACTCCCCAGTGGTCGTAGAGGGACAAGGCCTTGCGACTTCTAGCATCTGGAACAGTTTTAAGCCACTTCATTTGTGGATTGAACCCAGGAGCCCTTGACCACTGAGCTCTATTCCCCTTTTTACTAAAAAAAAAAAAAAAAAAAAGTGTTGAGGCAGGGTGCGGTTAACTCGCTAAGGCTGGCCTCAAACTTGCCATCCTCCTGCCTCAGCTTCCTGAGCAGCTGGGACTACAGGAATGTGCCACTGCTCCCGGCCGTTTGTGATACTTTGAAATAGCCTTGAGAAGTGAATGTGGGCCCTTTCTCCCTTCCCCCCCGCCTTGGGGACACCAGGGTTCCCTGACTCTGCTTTCCTGTGACTGTCCATGACGAGATCACGTCCACAGGGTCTTGCCCTAAAGCACAGTGGAGATGCCGAATTCTGTGGCCTCACCTTGAGGGCTCCCGCTGCTCCCTCGGCGGGTCCCAGCTGCCACTCTGATGGCTTCGGTCATTCTCCTACATCTTGATGTGCTCTGGCAGGGTCCCCAGCTCTCAGGCTCACC